CCAGAGGTAAGTAAGAACGCAGGGCAGCATTTTGCTTCTTAATGACCTCCTCTTCCTTTTGATCCGCGAGAAGCCACAAGCTGTTTTGAGGCGCCTTATGGAACGCCGTTGTACAAAACTTACGCCAAGCCCGGACCTGATCTTGTTTCCTGCTAGGGTTCCCCATCACAGCTCTCGGGCAGCCGTCATGCTTCCACTGCCATCGAATGTCTTTCATAGAAAGTTTCAACTGTCTGGGAGGCACCTTCAGGTCCTTCTTGTTGTCCTGTGAACTAACAAGAAAATACCCTTCGAAGTCATCGTCGGAAAAGTACACCATCTGTGCCGGCCACCGCTCGAAATTGTACTTCTTGGCCACCTCGCTGCCGAGCAGCGACCTGGCTGCAGCCGCGTTGTGCTGCCCGCGCACCGCGTAGTAGTAGTATTCTCCCGCCAGCTTATCCTTCCACTCCTCCGGCTTCAGACGTTGTGCCTTGGTCCCAGGAGTTGGTTATTGAAGCCCCAGTGGTGCGAGCTTGAAGACCGGCAACTCGTACGTCTGTTCTTTATTTTCGAATGCAGACCGCATTGCTTCCCTTATCGTTTCCACGAGGATGGGATCTAGCGACCGCTGGTTGTAAAGATCCTCCCACTCCCTTATGTCAACGATCTGAGTCGGGCTGACCTCAAACTCCCGCCTTGTCCTGACGCCGTCTTTGTACTCCAGGAAGTACCCGGCGTCCACGTCGATGGCAGGCCGTGGTGAAGAAGGTCCCGACTCAGGCTGTTTATGTTTCGAAGCCGGACGTTTGCTACCCGGGTGACCCTCTTCCACCCCTCTCCCCTTCCGTTTCTCTCCCGTAGTCCTCGGGGTCTTGGTCTTCTGTTTCTTCGAAGAGCCCACCAACTCTTCTTGACATTCTCCCCTCCTTTTTTGGGGAGTGCCCTGCGCTCCCTCCCCGCCCACGGCCTCGCCTTCTGCGCCATTGCCCCCGGCGGGCTCCAAGTCAGACCCACACAAGACTCCCTCTTCTCCGGGATCCGCTGCGGTCTGTTGTCGGGCCCCAGGTATGGACAACACGGACGTGTCTATTTCCCTCGACGGCGAAAACGGCGAACGCGTTGTCGCCTCATCTTCGCTGTCGTCAAACTGACCTCTGGCATCCTCCCGCTGCACATGTGTAGCGTCCCCGGAACCCAGATCACCCCCCTCCCCCGCTGCCCCTCTCGACTCACAACCGCCGCACGACTGCAAAGGCATTGACAGTTCCAGGTCGGGGACCGACTTCGCAAGGGACGTCGAGGGAGATGCCCTTGTCCTCCAACAGGTCGAAGAACTCTCGACCCAAAACAAACCCGCCCTGCCGCCGGAGGTCGTTGTAGAACGGGGTATTCGCAGCACCCGCTCCGAACCCCTCGAACAGACACATGTCGAGAACTGCCCCCTTGGCACCGGCGATGACGTTCCCCTTCGAACCGTACACATGTTTCATGTAAAACCGTCGACGACTGCCTTTCGTATGCTCCCACCGCAAGACAGACCCCAGAACCCTGCGGCGCTTGTTGGCTTCGACGAAGATCACAGGACCACACGGCTGTTGGACTAGGTTCGTAGCATCAGCACAACACCAGTCGACGAACCATTTCGACCTAGCGTGGTCGGACCACGTCCTCGAGGTCGTGGACGACCGTTTTGTAGAATCTTTCCCAGGTCCCATCCCGGAGGTCGCTGCAGGCTCCCCTTTGCCCCTGGACGAAGACATATTGTCTGTGGACGACAACAGAAAACAAATAAAACACCAGCGAGCGTCAAATCATAGTCAAAACACAACGCAGGCGAAAAACAGAGGAGGCACACCTTACCCTCAACAGGTCGGTCACATGACGCTATCCGAGGACCTCGAAGTTCGGATCCCGGCGAACTTCTAACACGAAGACCAGCAATGACCTCTTACCTGCAACGAGATCATTCTTTACAAGGGCACACGCTTCATGCAGCCGGGCGACAACCACGTCGGTTTTTCCCGGAACACGGATGTCCACCCGATCGGGAATGGACGGGTGGTGACGCACAAAGCCCGCGTTGGACGGGGCAATGTCGTCCGTTTAGCAATAGGAACCCGGACAGTTCAGGATGCGAAGTTTGCCGAGATCCGTACTAAAAGTGTCTGTACGAAGCCGAACCAACGCACCCACCGAAACGTGAAGTTCGTCGGGATCCGAACTTCAGGAAAATGCGACAGGCAGAGACGGCGTCAGACAAACATAGATTGGACTGAACGACGACCCGGAAAGGCCGCACTAACACAAAAGGCCGCTTGAGAAGGACAAGTTCGCTGAAATCCGAACTTCTTCTGATATGCGCAGCTTGGAATTGGATGAAGCCAAGTTCGAACGAGCAGCCGCGACAACATTGTATGAGTCCCTGGAGGAGCAGTTGTGAATCAGGAATTGACTCGTGTCGCAATCCACCAGGGATCATCAAGCCCAGCGCCCGTTCAATACACAGGCGTCATAGGAAGTTCACCGGGATCCGAACTTCAGGAGGCTGCGAGAGAGACAGACAGAAAGTTGGGGTCCTAGCAAGGTGTCCTGGCACGGTGCCAACGGTATTTCCAACAAGAGGGCCCGCCAACCGGGATCTCCAACGGGTTTCAGGAAACGCGAAGCTCGCACGACCTTGCGACGGGGATCTCTAAGAGTGCTTTTGGCATCTCGCTACGACAGTGACCGACTGTTTGGCACATGTTGATGGTGGACGGGCGAAAACCGGTTACGGGCAGATCCTTCCACGGTGATGGGTCTTTCCCACGGCCCGCCCGTCGCCAATGACATCAAAGACAAATTAACGGAGAGGCCAGAACGCGAAGTTCGCCGAGATCCGAACTTCGCCGGGGCACGACATGGAAGGAGTCGGCGTCAGAGACGGACGTCCAACATGACTTTCGTCATGTCACTGAACCGAACGACGACCAGGGATTTGCACGACAAGCGCGCGGTGCAGCGTGTACCAGCAACCGCAGAGTCTTACACTTCTCTGCAGTCCTACAAATCTGACATGTTAGGCAACACAACCGCATCTCGTCCCTCGCCGTTTTTTTCCCTCAAACAGAAGGACTAAAGACCGGTTCGGATGCGGCGACATTTGGGGATCCTCCGGGACGACGTCGTGAACCGAAGCCAAACAAAGCATTCAGTGACGATCCGTAGATGAGGGTCTGCGGTTCGTCGACCGATGCAATCTCCGAAAAAACGGACATGTATTTCACCCTAACAAACACCCCCGATCGTGCCAAGGAGTTTCCTATGCAGTCCCGTATGTCAGCCGCTTTCTCCTCAACCTCACGAAACAACGAATAGTTTCGAACTTGACCTGCTATCACCAAATCTGGCCACCCATCCACACGTTCAGGCCCACGCATCGGCACGAACTTGGACCCTTCAATCACAACCTCGCTGCGCGACACGAGCACAACTGCGTCGACGAGTTTCCCGCTCTTGTTCGAAGCAGCGACACACAGAACTCTGGCGAAATCAGATCCGGACACAGTCAACCGCACACAGCAGTACGACACAGCTCGTGGAGAAATCCCGGGGCAACGGAGCGGGTACTGGTCCAGGAACGAGCAGCGACGAGCGCAGTCCACCAACTCTTGTTTCCGCGAGCCACCCCAAGTTCGTGGCGACGACCTGACGTTGTGGCACTTGAGGTGACTGAAATAGCGGCTAATGCAGCTTAGTGCTTTCCGCATATGGTTCAGGAACTTATGTCCGAGGATGGCGTCAGGCAGCGGGATGAGGTCCCCGAACTCCAACATATTCGCGAACTTGTACTGGCTTGCCCAAGGGCAGTGACTCTCCATACTACCCCAATTGCCCTCGCCCCAGTCGTCAAGATGCGCGTCCCTGCACGGAACGACGGTCATCCATGGGTCCTCGTCGAAGTCCTCTGCGGTCGCTCCGTGGATCGTCGTCACACCGTTGAAATGCCGCACGGATTTCGCACAAGGACGAAAAGGTTCTGCTAAGCGAATGTGCGTCTCGGCACTCATGGCCTGTGGTCTCGAGAAGATCGACTCGAAGATGCGTGGTGTCGAGAAGGTCCCCTCCATCACGCAACCTGCACACCACGCGCACATGCCCGACGACACACACGGGCACGGAGACACTCGTAAACGCGTCATGTCTCGCGATGTGCGACCCATGGCATTAGACGCAGTGTATGCCCCAAGATCCGATTTCGGGTTGCCGGCTTCGTCGGTGTTCACTTCTACCGGCCCGCGCGCCGGCCGCAAACACGCCCAGCGATATGTTCGCCTGGATCCGAACTTGGAGAGACTGCGCGGGAAAGACGAAGCTGTCTCCCAAACCCGACGTCGAAAACTACCAAGAAGTTCGGATCCAGGCGGACTTCAATTTCGCACGAATGAAAAGTTGTGGCAGTCCACCGGTCGCCAGGAAGTCCACAGTCATAACATGCACCCCCCGAAAGGTGAAGCACGCCTGGGTCCGAAGTCCACGGTTTTCCGACGAACCGTGCACGGGAAGTTCGGATCTCAGCGGACTTTGCATTTTATAGAATCCGTAGTCCGCCGTGATCCGTAATTTACGATTGTCTGAGGAACCGTGCACGACAGGTTCTGATCCACGGCCCTGCAGGAACATCTCCTGCCACATGCATTGCGAAAGGAAGACAACTCAAATTCGTCGGGATCCGAACTTGCAAAAGGAGCATCTCCTGCCACATGCATTGCGAAAGGAAGACAACGGGTTCGGATTCACGGCCCAGCAGGCGAACCCGACGATGGGACGAGGAACCTTTGCACGAGAAGTACGGATCCCGGCATACTTCGCATTTTTCCGAAACAAAAGTTGTGGCAAACACTCGTTCGCGAGAAAGGACACAGGCAGTACCCACACTGTGCGCAACGCGAAGTTCGCCGGGGTCTGAACTTGCCATGCGATGTCCGGATCCACGGGAGGGTGTTCGCCGGGATCCGAACTTCTCGAGACCTCGTGGGAGAGAATCAACCGGCGGGCTACACATTTTTTCAAATACAAAGTTGTGCTAAACCCCGGGAGCTAGAAACCCGCGTTCTGAACCCGCACATTGAGATAAGCGAAGTCCCCGGGGTGCGAACTTGACGTCTGTGCGAGGAACCGTGCAGTAGAAGTCCGGATCCCCGCGAACTTCGCATTATCACGGATCCGAGGTTCCCCGAGGTCCGGACTCGACGAGTGTGCAAGGAATAGTGCGAGCGAGGTTTGGATCCGCAGGCCAGCAAGAACCTGTAGTTGGCCGGGATCCGAAATTTGAGAAATTACGTGGGAGATACACACCTGTCTGCCAAACTCGCCGTCCTGCAAATTTCTTGAAGTTCGGATCCCGGCGGACTTCATATTTTTCCACGTCCCAGGCTGTGGTTGCGGACCTGGGTTGCGAGGGAGACATACAGCTGCATGAAGTTAGCCGGGATCCGGACTTGGCGAAATTGCGTGGGAGACATACACCTGTCTGCCGAACTCGTCGTCAAGCAATTTCTTCAAGTTCGGATCCCCGCGGACTTCCAATTTTTACACGTCCCAGGCTGTGGTTGGGGACCGGGGTTGCGAAGCGTGTTCGAACAGCTGCATGAAGTTCGCCGGGATCCGAAATTGGCAAAATTGCGTGGGAGATGCACACGTGTCTGCCAAACTCGCCGTCCAGCAATTTCTTGAAGTTCGGATCCCGGCGGACTTCTAATTTTCCACGTCCCTGGCTGTGGTTGCGCACTGGGGTTGAGAAGCGTGTTCGAACAGCTGCACAAGCTCGCTGGGATCCCAACTTCTTCCGGTGTTTGATTGAGCAATCAGTTCGGTTGGAACGGCCACGTTCCGATCACGAGAACAGTGTTGGCGACGCGTGGGGTGGTGGGTGCTCAAAGTTCGACGTCCGATGAGGTTCGACGCCCGCCGAGGTTTGATTTGGAGCCAGGTTCCGTGGGTAGCATGGTTCGATGTTATACGAGGTTCGATGTGCAACAAGATTGTGTTCGAAGATTGGGATCGACGTTTTTCCGATCGGTTGTGCGTTTCGTTCGCCGGTTTCGACCGTGCACATGATCATTTGCCTTGAGGATTCTCCGCGATCGTTCTCCACGATCAATTAGCACAGAACAGTCGATCGGCTGCTCGGTTGGCGGTTGGTGTGGTGGTTGATCAACCAGCAGAGCAATCGCCAACCGAGCTGTCGACCAATTAGTTGATCTTGGCAGATTTCTTGGCCGATCGACGGTTCGGTCGAGGACTGTCAAGTGGGTAAATAAACAGGTCGCTCGCCGGCGGGTTGATCTTTGGTGCAGCATACACGATCAATCATCCGATCGCAAGTAATCTTCTGTCGTTTCGCGATTGTTCGGTTGGATGCGTTGTCGCCTCCTGCATTGGTTAATCATCCGTCGGGCAGATCAGCGGCGCTGTTGTTGGGGAGGCAAACAACATCTATCACCCGATCGCGAGTGGTCGGCTTGCGTTTCGTGATGGGTTGGTTCATCACGTGTGTGGTGTACATATTGTCATGGATCTGATCGACCATCAGATCACGAGTGATCTGAACACACACGATAGAAAGAACAACACACAATGGATGATCAATCGAAACACGCGGTGGTAGCGTCGACACGGCAGACACGACCAATCATCCGATCGCGAGTGATCTAATCGTGTTTCGCGATTGGTCGATGGATGCGTTAGCTGTGTCGACATTGCCACCGCGTGTTTCGATTGATCATCTATTGGGCAGATCGGCGGACATGACATTGAGATAGCACACAAAACCGCCTCGTGTTTCGATTGATCATCCATTGGACAGATCGGCGGACATGACATTGGGACAGCACACAAAACCACCACGTGTTCGATCCGAGCTGTGTCGACATTGCCACCGCGTGTTTCGATTGATCATCCATTGGGGCAGATCGGGTATGGCAAGTGCTCACGATGACGTTGTGTTTCGTTATTGGTCGCCCCGTGTTCGATCCGAGCTTCCGTGCTTCGCGACTTGAGTACAGCACGAGCGCAATCGTTTGTTGATACTCTCCCCACATATCCTCACACATCCACACACAAGCGGAATCGAAGGGTGAACCATGACGTTCGTCCCTGACCGCGCACGTTCGCTCGCATCTCCCCGCGGAAAACGCGCGCGAACACACACGCATGCGAACATATATGCACAGACAGGCACACACACGCACACACACACACACACACACGCACGCCGACACACGGCGCCCGCACACACACGCCCCTCAGGTACAGACGCGCGCACGATCCTGCCTCGCACGTGTGGCACACACTTCAATACAGACACAAACACAAAGGGACACGCACTCGAACACTCACACACACACAATGAAGCATGCACAAACACACAATCACACACAAACACACACACACATACACGCCCACCCGCACACATGCAACCACGAAATCTTTCGATTTGCGCGAGCATATCGTCACAAAAAACCTCCCCCGCACGCGCGCACATGCAAACATACATCCCGACTGCGTGCGCACTCACCGTGTGGAACTGCCGAGTGAAGATGAGCGCGAACCCCAGCGTTTGTCGTGACGGTACGCTGTCCACCTTTGGGCGTGCACTTCGCGTTTGCTGGGGTGCTGCGTGGGGTGGCGGTCGCGCCTTCCGAGAAAGGAGATCGGGAGCGACATCTAATATGATGTGGACAGCGACTTGGTAGGCGGAGGGACATGCGAGGGCATGTGGGGTGCGTCGGTGCCACGAAACGTGTGCGGTGAAGAATGGTTGTGCCAGCTATGGCGCGCCAACTGTTGACGAGAGTGGCGGTGCGTGGCTTCTGTCGGGCAGCATCTCCCCAGCAAAAAACGCAAAACGCATCGTCAATGTCCAGGGCGCCGCTCGTATTTGTAAGCGCGCGGGACACAAGGCCCCCCTCGTGCCTTCCGTTTCAGATTTCCGTGCAGGGTCCGCGCGCCGACTTTAGTCTGTTCGATCCTCGCATCGAACGGTGGCTGCACGTCGAAATTGTCGCGAGGGGGGCCTGGTGCGTCGAAATGTGACAAAAACGTCCCTACGGGCTGGCCCTTCCCGGACGTCATTGGAAAACGGGCCCTTGTTCCGGGCCCCTCACGTTCGTGTCTTCGGGTTCGCGGGCCCCGGTGGAGGGGGTCCCAGGTGTCGGCGGGGGGCAGTTTGTACTTTCCAGGGG